TGAATGTGCACAAGTCCATGGTACCTGATGAAATCCATCCATGGGTCCTGAGGGATGAAGTTGCTAAGCCAATATCCATTGTATTTGAAAAATCATGGCACTCAGATGAAGTTCCTGACAACTAGGAAAAGGGAAATATAACCCCTACTTTCAAGAAGGGGAAAGTGTTAGACATGGGGACTAGTCAGTCCCATCTCTGTGCCTGGCAGGATCATGGAACCACGAAACCATGAAAACCATGAAAACCAATGAGGTGGTTGGTGACAGCCAACATGGCTTCATGCCTGACCAATCTGGTGGCCTTCTTAGATAGGGCTATACAACTGATGGACGGGGGCATAGCAGTTAACATTGTCTACCTGGATTTGTGCAAAGCGTCTGATACTGTCCCACATAACACCCAGACAAGGACTTGGGTGGGGGCTGCTTGATGAAAAACATAACATGAGCTGGCTTCAGTGTGCGCCTGCAGCCCAGAAAGCCAACCATATGCAGGGCTGCACTAAAAGAAGTGTGACCAGCAGGCCAAAGGAGGTGATCCTGCCCCTCAACTCTGTTCTGGTGAGAACCCATTTGAAGTACTGTGTACAGTTCTGGTGTCCTCAACATAAGAAGGACAAAGAGCTGTTGGAGCAAGTCCAGAGAAGGGTCACGAGGATGATGAGGGCAATGGAGCACCTCCCATATGAAGACAGGCTGAGTAAATTGGGACTGTTCAGCCTGGAGAAGAGAAGCTGTATGGAAACCTCATAGCAGCCTTCCAGTTTCTGAAGGGGGCCTACAAGGGTGTCGGAGAGGGACTCTTCATTAGAGACTGCAGTGATAGGACAAGGGATAATGGATTTAAACAGGGGAAGTTCAGGTTAGATGTAAGGAAGAAGTTCTTTACTGTGAGGGAGATGAGGCACTGGAACAGGTTGCACAAAGACATGGTACATGTTCCATCCCTGGCAGTGTTCAAGGCTAGACTGGCCAGAGCCTTGGGTGACATGGTCTGGTGTGAGATGCCCCTGCCCATGGCAGGGGGTTGAAACTAGGTAACCTTAAGGTCCTTTCCAACCCTAACTATTCTGTGATTCTACGAGTATCTCATCCAACATTTTCAAATCTCTAGAGTACATTGTAGGTCACTGCCAATACCAAGATTTCCAGTGCATACACAATAGTTTTAATGGCTTCTTTCAGGAAAGAAATTTACAGTGCAATCCTTTTTCCCCTTCAAATTTTTGCCACTCATTCATCTACTGTTCTCCAGTTCTAAATGGGTAATCAGAAGAAAATGAAGGGTCTAAGAAGGAGAGAAAAAAAGAAAAAAGAAAAAAAAAGAAAAGAAAAATAAAAAAGATTCATGCTTCCCCCCCCCCCCCCAAAAAAATGAAACAAAAACTCCAAGGAACCCACAAAACTCAGAGTCACTTGAGATAGGGTCTTTGAAATAAAAGTATACAGATAAAAACTAAGCATCTTTTTTTAAAGCCTGCATCATGTAATAACGCATTCAACACTGATGCATCAGTGTTGACAGTGCGCTTCATTTGTTTTCTGTAAATAACAAATAAAAGCACCCTTACCAGTTAGCTTAAATTCTCAAGAAGGCAACAGGGAAAAAATAAAAATAAAAATCAGCATATGGAGAAGCTAAATATAAAGTCTCCCTACTGCTGACCTACCCTATCCTTAAAACAAGCTTGTGTTAAACCATTCACAAAATAAATACTGAAGTCACACCTTTAAAATAGCACAAAAAAACAGTCAGCGTATCTTGTTTGTTACCTAACCATGTGGGTGAACTCTGCCACTTTACGTCCCCAGGCAAGTTTTCACCAAGACAAAGTGAGTAAAATGTAAAAGTTCAAATGAAAACGGGATTACAGAATTTGAAACTATAACCATTCCTTTATTTCTTTCCTCCCGTTGCTAACCAAGCTAAAAAAAAAAAAATCCCATGACTTCAGGACACCTCCTCTGTAGGTGGATAAGAACAGAAGATGCACAAGCAGGGCTACTACAGATCTCCTCATTTACTGTATTTGTAGTAGTCTCCTACAACACAGCCCCCCTCTTGCCCTTTACCAATAGTGCACACTCATCCCACTCTCCATGATTACAGGTTTCTACTAGCTAAAGCATGAATCTCACAAAAGAGGAGAAAGTTATAAAGCTTTATAACTACAGTGTTCTACAACATCCAGCTGCCAATGTCATTACTAACTGCTGGAGTTACCTCCTCCTATTGTTGAATACGATGAAGTTTGTCAACTCTGAAAGGCGCCTGAACTGCCAGTTGAAACTGTTTACATGGACAGTATGGCTCACGAGAATACAGAAGAGGTCCACAATGTAACTCAAGTATTTATTAATGGCTACCCAATCTCTTTTTTTGCTTGGTTTCTGGGTTGTCTGGTTGTTTTTTGTTTGTTCTGGTTTTTTCCTTTTTTTGGGGGGGAGGGTTGCTGTGTTTGGGTTGGTAACAACTGCACAACTATATATATATATATATATCATTTCCTAACGCTCCTTAAACCTAACAAAGTGGGACGCAAGTTTTTTTCCTACATCAAGGTCTTCTACCTGCAACTGTTTCACATGGCTAATTCCCATTTCAGCCAATTGGTACTCTGTTCCCAGAACAGATGTAAAATCCAACTCCCTATGAGAAGACACAATGCAGCTTAATTCTAAGAACAAAGTATCAATTCACTCTCTAAGTTTTCATAATTCTGTATTCAAATGACTCTTTTAATTGCAATGGGAATTCCGTAACCCTTCCCTTCTCAAGGAAAGTTACCTTTTTTTTTTCCTCTAGTTAGAGGACAAAAACAGTACAGCAATACTGTATTTTCCTATACACGTATATTCTAGCTGCTATTTCAGAGCATGGTTCTAGGCTACAGACAGACAGAAAAACACCTGCATCTGACTCACTACAGCACCGGCCCTGACAAAGAGACATACAGGCTGTTAAAAAGATAGGGATAAAGAATTTGAAGGTCAAATCAAAATGTGTCTCTTTGTTCACGACATACACATCAGTATCATAAAAGCAATTCTGAACAAGCTGCTGCTTGCTGCATTGAAGGTCCTTACAGAATTAAACAAAGCATTATAACTAGTTTAATCACCTTTTAAATTTTAAAATTCATCTTCTCTTGCTATATGAATTTTTATTGCCTTATACATGTCTTTTCGCGCTGCGCTCTTCAAAGTAACCCTGAAATAAGCAGATGTTTAATTCCCATAGAACATGTCAATGCCTGAAACTTGTACAAGCAATGCAAATCTTTTACACATGGGAGCTAGCAGTATTCACAAATGATACCCTATTTCCCTGTGGAAGAATAACACAAAAGAACCTATGAAAAAAATTTCCCTGTGCTGGAAAAAATGAAAACTCAACACTGGTTTGTTTAGTTAAGAGGAAAAGCTTCAAACCGTTAGCCAGACTGAAGCATCAGAATCACAGCAAATAAGAATTTGACAAAGGCAGACAACAGGAAAGATCTTGACAATAGCAAAACCAAACAACCAACCAAAGACAGCTCTATTATGAGATACACTCCAGCATATATTTAAAAATTCAATCCATACAGTTTACTAAAGTGGTGTGTTCAAATAAATTAGCTATTAAATTCATGACTGTAAGTAAAACTTACCATATATATCAAATTATCCCTGCTATTAATTTGTACCATTTTGTCCAGTTTTAATATTCTGACAATGAAAAATGCTTAAATGAGTGATTTAATTCCTTTGTTAACAGCTCATGAGACTTCTAAAACTTAAAATCACACACCTACTTTGAGAAAAAAAAACCTGTAACATTTTATGATGGAAGTTAAAAAAGTAATAATTTTTTCCATGACTAATGACTCAGTTTAATAAAGATGCCACATGAAAACATAAAATAGAGAAGAAATGAATGGTCACGGAAGCATGACCATTCTGAATGAGAAAAAAAATTACCAGCATAGCCTTAAAAATAAAAACCTCAGGAATATTCTGTTGCTGATAAGCAGGCTTTCAATCTTTAAACCCATAAATTTCTACTTTCAAACAAAGCACATAAAATGTTGTGACTTTTTTCCTACTTTTAGTGGGATTTAGCAGCTTAAGTCCCAAATCATTCAAGAAAGTTTAGAGTGCCTTATGTTGTTTTTTTTTATTATTATTCATATTAGAGATACCTACATATTTAGATGCTCAGTTGAGAATTTGGGCATATAAGCATCTTAGGCACACCTTCTATATGCCAAATACAGTATCCTGGGAGTAAATTAAAACATCACAAGTACAGGTTTTCATTTTGGACTGCTTCTATTTAAGACTGTTTGAATTGCACAGACTTTTTTTCATTCTTGTTGTTAGGAAGATGTTACAGTATTCCATCTGTATATACTCCCTTTTACTGGCCACTGCATCTAGCATAATTATATGTAATGATATGGTTTTCTAATATTCCTTTAAATATGTTCAAGATGGTCACAGACATTAACAGAAGTTCAGGAGCATAACTGTTCAGCACCTGTGTAGCAGGTTCAGATGCCTATTACGGTCTTCTTTATCTTTCAGTTATTAGAACTTCGGAAATCCTAATTCTTAAAATTACTAACTGAACAACTCCTCTCTTAATTAAAGGTGCATACAGCTATTGTCAAAGCTCTTCTCTGAGTACCCAAAATAAAGGGACACTTCTGGTATGTAGAGGAATATAAGATTTAAAAATGTATAAACCAAAACATTAATCCTTACTTGTTTGTATGATTAGAAAACAGAATACTGAAGATTTTTCTTATCTATAAAAGTAACCAAAATGTGGCTTTTTGTATTTTCATATTTCCATTTAGAATTATTACATACTAGTAACAAACCCCATCAACTGTGAGGGACAGAAGCAAATTCGAAGCAAAGCCCATTGCTTTGTAACATTCTAAGTCTGAACTTTTTATGCTGTCTCACTTGGACAGAAGACTTGTTTTGCAACTTCTTCTCAAAGGACTTACCGGCAGTGTTTATGTGATCCTGTTAGGGTTTCAATCACAAAGCATTCCCCTTCATTGAGACAATACGCAAGATCCTTGTCTTTGCATGGCTTAAAGTGCTCAGATCGCTCAGTGGAATACGTTGTAGTATCTGCGGAGAGAACAGAAAAAAAGAAATGCTGTAAGAATAAATCTTGGATCTTCTTAAAGTGTATGTTAAATAAATTAGATCAAATCAGCCTCAGTACAACAATTAATCAAGACAGACTAAATAACAGAAAACAGAAGAACAGTGCAAACTTCAGTGTGACTGCATATCATATGCAACTGAGTTCCTATAAGATTCACAAAGGGAATCTTGTATTTGGAAATATTCTAGACTGCAGCAGTTGAGTATAATTTCAACTACTTCCAAAGTATACCTTCCAAAATGTAAACATGTCTATTTTGTATTCTTTAACTGGAAAAATAATTTCATATTAATACACTGAAATATAGTTTTATATAAAATACACATTTTTTTCATTAAAAAAACTGAGCAAAAGTAGTTAACATAGTAACAATCTAAGAAAACCCTGGACCATGAACTCTGGAGCAATGAAAGAAAAAATAAAGCAAAAAGCCTAAGAACAATGCTAATTTGAACTACTAGACACAAAACCTCCCAAACACAAGCAATGCAACCTAGATTGTGTAATTTCAGGTACACCACCTGAACACACCCTCATCACAGTTCAAAAAACCGATTACAGCTTGGACTGTTGGCTGTAACTTTGGAATAAGTAGATAGATACCAAGATCTGGAATAGGCTGACAGTATGTTCGGGTGAGCTATAATTCCTGGCTTCTAATAGATCTCTTTAACCTTTTGAATCCAGCTGCACTCACAATTACAGTGAAATTTTCAGAGGAAGATATTTGACGGAAAGATATTTTAATTTTATCCCCGAAGACAAGGATTTTTCTATTGAAGTGTAATTTTCAAAGTAGACAACAATTTCCACAGAGCCATGGTTTAACCTTCATATACAATCTTAATTCTCAAAGTTTAAATTCCTACTCATTCTGAAGGGGTAAGGGCCAGGATCTAACATACTAATATATATTAAAATTGTAAGACAACATTTCATTATATATCATACAATCACAAATTATTGTGTTACCTTCTCCCAAAAGAATGAAGCTGTGCTCATGCACACAGAACTCTGCAAAAAACACATCAGCTTGCTTTTTGCTCATAACTTGATACAAAGTAAGTATCTGCCAATGTAATACGGAAGCTGAAAACCAAAACACTGCAGCACAAAACACCTGTAAATACAGTTCTGTGAGAAAATTCAGGTAATTCCAAAAATCTTTCAAGGTAACTTTTTTCACTTTTTTCATTCTTTGTGTATTTTAACTGTTAACTAGACTAAATGAAGGAAGATGAATAAAATGCATCTGAAAAGAGTAAGACAACCCACATCCTAATCTTTGTATACAACACTTTTTTTTGTTCCCCAGAGAGAAAATATTGTAGTTCAAGGTTTTCAGTGGAAAGAAAAAAATTCCTGGGAATAAACTCCAACAAGTCTCCCTTAAAATGCCTTTCGAGATTCGTAATGAGAGGCCCTGCCATTTTCACTGACAGCAGCACTTACACAAAAAGGTACAGGCTATATAAAAACTACTACGTTTTTAATGACTGCAAGCAAAAGTAAAATGTGTTAAATTGAATTCTGGAAACAATACAAAATGTTTGTAAATGCAAACAGTGACTAGCACATCACTGCTGACATTTCAAGTACGATCAGATTTTATGTAACAGAAGTATCTTTAGGTAGAAAAAAGGCAGATCAATTTTATATAGAAGCATTTAAATGGCCATTTAGAATTTTATTAGGAAAAAAAACCCACAACATTTCTATCCCCTTTAAATATGAAAAACTGAAGATAATGTTATATAAAAGCACTTGTGATAATTACACAAGGTAAGTAAAACTGTTTGATGAGTAGCAACTCAACTTGATACGGCTTTAGAGAACAGAACACTTACATTTGTCAGCCTGCTCTGAAGAAACAATCTGTGCAAATACTTTTATGAAGGTAGCTGCATTACAGACCAAAGTAATCTGAGATATCCCCAAAGGAGAACAGCAAAACCAAGGAGATACACAGTATCAAAAAGCCTGTCTTTGAGGTAATGACATACTAAACTCACAGTGTTTGAAGTGCATGATATTCTTGCAATAATTAACTCAAAAGTACCTTGTCAAGGTCAGCATTTTACAGTTTTAGATTAAATACATTTTTCAGAGGTTTTGTTCTATTTTATCTTATCTAATCAAGTCTGCAGCAGAAACTTTTGCCAATTCAGCAGTGTCAGAACAGACATGACATTTTATACTGGCAAAAGTGCCACTGAAGATACAGCTACAGCACAACTTAATTTGAGCAATAACTGAAATTACACAAGTGATGGAACTTCTCTGCTGATATAAATTGTTAACGAACTATGATCAGCCATTGCAGGAAGTCAGCCTTCCAAATGAAGCACAACAGTTGTAGGTAACAATGCTGACAGCTTCTTATGACAGCCTTGGAAAGAACACAATACACTGAAAAGTACACAATAATTTGTAATTTTTTTTTATTTTTAAATAAATATTGTCTCATTAAAAGTCAGTTTTCAATTACAGCCTTCCTGTCTTGAAAGTATTTGTGTTGATGCACATGGAAACCTCTGTCTATACACAGCTGACCTCTGATCTGCAAAGATCAGATGCCTTAGCTACAAAGGTCATTCACTAACATTCAAAATCTCAACAGCTGTGTTACTAATTGATACCTTAGATATCCCTAGAGCTGTTTGGTATATTTTTTGCTGGATATACACACATACAGAATATGTGAATTTTCTGAAAGGTAACAATCCTGCTTTTACTTCATGCTGTACTCATGATGAAACAAACTGTTACAGCTTCATTAAATACTGGGGGAGGAAAAAAACAACAAAACCAAACAACCAAACCATACCAAAAAAACCATCACACCAAACAAACAAGTAAGACCTTTTTCTAAGCGGGGCTATAGAAAGAACAAAACAACAGAAAACACTTTAGACATATGTAATTTTCCTGATTCTTTTTCTAAGAAATAAGAAAACTTATTGTCTTATTTTCATACCTTCCTAACCCCCCCCCCCCCCCCCGAGTTTTTGGAGTTGTTTTGGTAGGGTTTTTTTTTAACTCCTAACCAAATATTGAATTGACTTTGATTTTTGAGCAACCTGCTCTAGTGGAAGGTGTCCCTGCCCATGGCAAGGGAGCTGGAACTAGATGATCTTTCAAGTCCCTTCCAACCCAAACCGTTATACAATTCTACAACTTCTTTTTGTGAAATCATCTTTCATAGCTTCACAAACCTGTTAAGTACCCATTATTCATTCTACTGTGAAGTTTGATTTTATTTTTTTAAAATAAGTAATATAACCTAGGCATTCACAAAATAGTAGAGCCCCTTAATTTATTTCTAGTCTTTGAGCACAGGTAACAAATCCAAACATTTATGGGAAGCTTATGTTAAGAATTCAGATGTCCTTGAATTCAGTCCATAAACAGCAATAATCCATATTCCCATAACGTCTCCTTTTTTCATGTTTGTATTTTCTTTTCTTTTAACTGCAAAGTGCCAAGGTGTTTCATGACAAAGCAGCAGGTGCTATTGATTTCTGCTGGAATCTTTCCAGCTAAATAGGAATAAAGAATTTCTAGGCACTTTTGCTCTATTTTTCTTACCTCACTTTATCAGTAAAGCTTAAAGCTCCAAAAATGAATATTCCACTGCCAAGTCTGATATTACTGTTTAATCAAATAAACAAGAATTCAGAACACATTTCAAAGGCTTCAAGATTTTGTATTCAGAAGCATAGAATCAGATAAAACAAACAAACAAAAAAAAACCAAAAAACATTGTTTGGGAACATTGAAAAAAAAAATCAGTAGGAAGTTTTCAGATATTATTTTAGTTTCTTAGGGTCTAAAGCCTGATCTAAAGAAGAGTTAGTGACTTTGTATTCTTGTCTCATTACTCCATTTCATCATGTTTATATCAGCACAGGATGGCTCGTTATAGCTAATTTATTGAGTGATCTTCAAGGCATGATAAGGATACTATAAATACTATCTTACTTCAAGGCTACCAGATTCATTGCTTCCAGTACTATTCTCTGGTATTAATAAACCTGTAATTTCAAAGGACAAATGCAGGGAGAAAGATAATGGAAGATTCAAAATATCCTGAGAAACATCCACATTTTCAGCAGCTGTTTTTTCAGACACTACAGCAGCAGCAACCATTCCCACCCATCACATCTGTCTCACAGCATTCTGATTTTAGAAACCTCAAATAAAATTATATTCATCATCCATGTGCTTCATTAGAAACATTTCTGTACAGACAGACAGCCTTAACTGCTATGGGGAGAGCAAAAAAAAATTATACTTAGGGGAACAAGAGACAAAAAGACCCTGCTTTTCTGAAGTCAGTAGTGGTGGGGCATCCAAATTTTGTAGCTCCATAGTAACATAGAAACATAGATTCATAGAATAGTTAGGGTTGGAAAGGACCTTAAGATCATCTAATTCCAACCCCCCTGCCAGGGCAGGAACACCTCACACTAAACCATGCCACCCAAGGCTCTGTACAACCTGGCCTTGAACACTGCCAGGGATGGAGAACCATGTGCTGCTTCTCTTCTGGTATTTTAGAATATTGTGGTAGTCCTACCAGAAAGGGTCTTGCAAAAAACGCAGATTACACACAGAATAGTTTATATATTACTTTGTTTACTCACAATACCCTGAATCTTAAAAAAACATATAATCTAAAATTTTTATTCCTGTGCTTTTAGAAGCAAATGAAAGGTGGGTAGGGGGAGAAGGTAACAAGCCCTAATACGATATCCGTTAAGGAAGAAAGAGTGGAAAACTTGAATATTACTTGCAAGTGTTTATTATGATTTAGCCTTAGATGATGGTAACTATTTCTTAAGTCATAAATATTTGTAAAATATGCATTCTAGACATACTTTAAATCCAAAACAGAGATCTTCCTTTGGCAGTACTAACTGAACAGTAGTTGGCATTAGCTATGCGATACTCCTGGGAT